ATTGCATAGTGGACCACAGCAGCACCCAGACAACTTAATCTTAAAGGAACACTATAGGCACCCAGACCACTTCAGCTTAATTAAGTGGTCTGGGTGCCAGGTGCACCTAGGATTAACCCTTTCTGCTGTAAAGAAACTGCTATGTTTACACGAGGGTTAATCCAGCCTCTAGTGGCTGTCTCTAGTGGCTGTCTCATTGACAGCCACTAGAGGCACTTCCACACTTCTCACTGTGATTTTCACAGTGAGAAGACGCCAGCGTCTACAGGAAAGCATTGAGAATGCTTTCCTATGGGCTGACTGAATACGCGCACGGCTCTTGCCGCACATGCGCTTTCCGCCGCTGACGGGGAAAGGAGGAGGAGAGTCTCCAGCACCGAGGGAGCCCGGCGCTGGAGAATGGTAAGTGTTTAACTCCTTCCTCTCCATCCAGCCCGGCGGCAGTGGGACCCTGAGGGTGGGGGCACCCTCAGGGCACTTTAGTGCCAGGAAAACGAGTATGTTTTCCTGGCACTATAGTGGTCCTTTAAAGAAGTGGTCTGGGTTTAGTTAATAATTAGTAGTGTTGGTTTGGTATCTATACAATTTTCAAAATGGGTGATATTTTCACTGCACAGACAGTGCAGCCAATCAGGGAGCACTACCAGCATGCAACACTTCTGCACACTATATAATCCCACCCCACTGATACCATCTTTGTGGAGAGTTTAGGAGCAGAGAAAGACTGAGCAAAGAGAGACTGAGCAGAGTGTGAGAGCAGAGAGAAAGCAATTTGTGTGTGAACAAGCAAGTGAGCGTGTGTGACAGAGAAAAAAATGAGAGCAAGTGATGTCTGGTAGGGAGAGCAGTGTAGGGTACCCCAGGGAGAGTTGTGGTGGTGGTGGTAGTGGGGTAGTTGTGGCTTGTAGGAAAAGCAGTGTAGGGTCCCCCAAGGAGAGTTGTGGTGGTGGTAGTGGGGTAGTTGTGGCTGGTAGGGAGAGCAGTGTAGGGTCTCCCAGGGAGAGTTGTTGTAGTGGGGTAGTTGTGGGAGATTTGCCCAGGGAGGGTGGTGGGAGGGAAGATAGCCATACTAGGGGCAGGGAGGGTGGTGGGAGGAAAGGTAGTCGTTCAAGGTGCAGGGAGGGTGGTGCAAAGAAAGCTAAGCATTCTAGGGGCAGGGACGGTGGTGCGAGGGATTTGGGAGGATTTGCCCAAGCAGAGTGGTGGGAGGGAAGGTAGGCATTCTAGGGGCAAGGAAGGAGCTCCCAGGGAGGAGGGTAGGAGGAAGGGAATTGGGGAGGATTTGCCCGGGAGAAAACAGAAGAAGCCATGTCCCTTAATATTGACTACTTCTAATAGTAATACAGACTCCTTATCTGAGGAGGCTCCCTTGCTGAGAGACCATGGGGCCCCCCTTTAGCAACGCTGAAAATTGTGCGCTGGTGGCTGCAGTCATCAATGAAAAAGACACAGCGAATGCTGTTGGAGAGGTGTGCAGGTCTATCGGCTGTGTGAAGCACAGGAAAATAATATATCACAAAATTATTCTTTATATAGTCACCTATAAAAATATAGTTGATTTTGCAGGGGAATTAGCTTCTCTGGATGAAGAGCAGAATATAAATTTTTGCAAATTCCCCTTTATTTCCTTTTTAGTCATTAGACTCTTAAAAAACTCAAACACATATATTTTAACTTATCACATTAACAGCAGACAAGAATAAATAAAACAAATAGATAGGTGAACAGCACTAGAAATATAAATACATACATACAAAAGATGGCAGTAATTTCCACAATAGCATGTCTTAAAAAAATTAAAAATACAATAATGGTGCAGTATGCAATGGTAATAGTGATAAATATAGTATTTGGTGCCAAAGGAACACTCAATCTTTTCAGAGCATTATAAGCTCTATTTAAGGAGCCTGGATGGAATAATCCCTGTCTATGGATTTCTTTGTAATGGTTCAACACTGTGTGGTTCTCAAAAGGGTGAGGTTCATCATATCCTTTCCAAAATCGATTTATTAGAAAACTATGTATTAAAAAATTATTTGAAGATGAGAATGCATTAAGAGAAGAAGTTCCACCTATTGAACCTAATTCAGAATCTCAAGCTTTTTTTGCACACAAACCTAAAGAAAAAAAATCAAGTTTTTATCCAAAATTTTTAAAAATCATAAAACATGAGAGTGTTTTAAAAAGGTTGCTAAGAAGACATCTATAAAATTAAACCCCTATCTAAATATAATTTTAATTTATCATTTCATGAAAGAAAGGCTAAGAAAAAATTAAATGAAGATTCCTCTATTATTATAAAACCGTCCGACAAGGGTGGTGGGGTAGTTATTCAAAATACAGAGGATTATATACAAGCGATCAACAGACAATTACAAGATAGCGACACATATACTAAACTTAAAAATATCCTACTAGTGATATCAAACAAAAATATCAAGTATTTTTAAATAAAGGTATGGATCTTAAAATTTTGGATAAAGGTGGAAAAAAGTTTTTTAACAGTTGACTATCATAGAATCCCTGTTATATATACACCCTTCCAAAAATTCACAATGATTCCTCTAATCCCCCCGGTAGACCGATTGTCTCCGGAATTGACTCCATTTTATCATCATTATCCCAATACATAGACGCACATTTACAACCATTGGTTAAAATTTGGCCTTCCTTTCTACAAGACTCTGTGAGTCTTTTAAATATTTTAGAAAATTTTAAATGGGAGAAGGACTATATTTTAATTACTTGTGACATCACCAGCCTTTACACAATTATCGAACACACGAAAGGCTGTGAAGCTGTGGAATTTTTTCTTAAAGAATCACATACCATTCCGGATGTACAAATTCAATTTATTTTAGAAGGCATCAATATGATTCTTAAAAATATTTTTTGGAAAAAATAAAATAAAAAATAAAATAATAATTTTTGGTTTGGTGGTGAATTTTTTTCTTCAAATTAGGGGCAACGCTATGGGGACCAAGTTCACGCCTAGTTACGAAAATATTTTTATGGCGTTCTGGAAAAGAACTTTTATTTACCAGAATAATCAACATGGCATGAACTTGCTCCTCTATATACGCTACATAAATGATATTTTTATTATTTTTAAAGGCTCTATGGAGCTTTTAAACATGAAAACTTAAATAGTAACGATTGCGGCATTAGACTAACTAAAAATGCTAGTAAAACTAATATTAACTTTTTTGATCTTGATTTTTACGTCTCTGAGAATATTTTAATGACACATACTTTTTTTAAATTAGTGGATGTTAACAGCTATATCAAAATTGATAGTTGCCACTATCGTCTATGGCAGGGATAGGCAACCTTCAGCACTCCAGATGTTGTGGAATACATCCCCTATAATGCTCTTACACCCATATTGCTGGCAAAGCATCATGGGAGGTGTAGTCCATAACACTGAGAGTCCATTGCGGTCATGAATGACTCCCAGTTGTCCAAGACAGCCCCTTTCTCCTGTAGCTTCTGTTATGCCCACACCTTCAGCCATCCAGAAAGCAAAATAACAGAGGAGCGGACTATGACAAAGTCAGAGGCGTAAGTCATTGGTTTCAAAGCAAACAGGAGCTCGCAATCCATCTTGAACGTCAAGAATGAGGAGCAGGTACCGTCGAACCTGTGAGGCATTATCACATAGGGTTCTGGATATGCATGTTCCAGGGTTGGGCGTATTGCTCCTTTAAATGACAGTGTATCTCTCTGCAAGTCCATAATAGTCTGGAACATGTTGGCTACTTGCTGAGCAAGGGAAGTGAGTAACTTGTATGTCTCTGCAGACTCCATGGTCAGTTCATTATGTCAGGGTCTTACCTCATGTGGAGTCCAGTATGCAGAATATATATGCTCACCCTTGCAAATAAACACAGACCAAGGTGACCAGGCAAGACGCCACCTGGCCTGTGAGTGTGTGCACAGGGGCTGTGTAGGGATATACTCCAAGTCACAGTTCAGGCAAGGACAAGCAGAAGAGTTGTTGTGGAAAGCCGAAGTCAGGGGAAGCCAGAGATCAGAGAAAATGATGAGAAAAGCCAAGAAAAAACTGGAGAACACACGATCTGAATACTCAGAAACAGGAACCAAAAACGTGAATCAGAGTCAATGAACTGACACTGCTACTACTCAGGGAGAGGCAGTATCTTATACCTGGCTAATTAGTGATAAGCTACAGGTGGACTATGATTGACAGGAGCAGTCACAGGTAAAGCCCACCCCCCAGTGCTGGAGACATGGCAGGGATAAGCTTCACATTCAAGCAAGAACTGAAGTGGCCCAGAGGCAGGAACACAGGCTTAGAACCATAAAGTACCCAGGTTCAAATCCCCTGTAGGGTACTGCTAGGGTGACCTCATCTCGTCTGGTCCCCATCAGTCACCACAAAACCCATATGTGTGTCTGCCTGCTGTCCTATGGTGCTCCTTCAACACAGGAACGGTAGAGTGAGGGCACTATGTTCATGCTAAAAGTAGTGCCCGATGGAATGACATATTGCAGTACAACAGCCTCCATAATATGCTTGAAGCCTATGAGCCTTCTACCATGTTAAAAGGAGCATCTCCAACGGATATCAGCTCATTGATGAGCAGAGTATTATTGCTGGATTGGACAGAGAGTAAAACCTACAGAGTGCAGCCTAAACTGGTGGCACTATAACTGCAGCAGATTTTTGATGATCCTTGTACTGCCTAGTGGTGGTGGCACTACTAGTATTGCTAGGTGGAGAAGCACACCACTTTCTTTGTGGTGTGTACGAAAATGTTGGTTCATCCCAGAGTTCGTAAGATGACCCAACACCTTCCCACGGCCGACTTCCTTGCAACACAGTTTACATTTTGCCAGATGGCCGTCTCCAATTGTTGCAAAATGTTCCCACACTGTGGAACGACAGGTGCCACTACTAGTTATGGGTGGGGAAGACTGTACAATTTCACAATCAACTGGAGAGGCAGTTGGCACTGCTGGAGTTGGGGGTGGGGGGGCTATAGATATGTCACCATCAGCTGAATTGGGGATAACTGATCAATTCCCTCTTCTCCCTGGCTACCAGGAACTACAAGAATATCTTCTTGTATTATGTTGTCAATTGCACTGCTGCTGCTATGAGAGGTGGTGGCAGTAGCATTGGTAGTAGTGGTGGTGGCCCGAGTAGCACTAGCATATTTTTCCTCCTCTAACTTTAATATCTCCCTCTTAGGCTGCCTAAATGGATGAGCAGCAGTAACAGGCTGTGTTGAAACTGCCCGGCTGTGGTAAAACATAGCAGGTGTCACCACAGCAGTGGAACTGGCAGTAGTGGAGGTAGAGGTACTACTGTCACCACTAGCAATAGTGCTGGTGGTTGTGAGGGGAGTAAACAGCCGTCTACGAGATTTGTATGGTGGCTGCTTCGTGGACCCAGAGGACCTCTCAACCCTGCTACTAGAAGGCAACTGCATTCACATAATGTTCCCTCCCTCTCTCTTGTTTTGCCACTTTTCCTAAATTCCAAAGCACTTAGAAACTTCGGCAATTCGGAACTACATCAATTCGGGACTTCGGCAATTCAGTTTGGTTCGGCACTTCCGAACGACCGAACGTTGACACTTTGGCACTTCGGTCATTCGTAAGCATCTGAATGTCCAAATTCCACAAAATTTGTCTAGATTTTAATAAGCCAGTTGATTCATCTGATCTGCGTATAGACCAAAATCAGTGTTATTTTACTTCTTCTAAGGGGTCAGAAAGTTGTCTCAGATTCTCTTGAACCATACCCCTTTCACTTCAACATCTTTTAACACCACCAATATTGAAAAGATATTCCTTGGATTTACTTCTCTGCAGTAAATCCTAAAAATACACCTGAATTAAGTCTTTCGTTTTAATCATACCTGTTGAAAATTAACTTTTGTTTCTCTCTTGCCATTCTCTCTTATAAGTTATACAATATTTTAATGGCTGGATCAAACAGTTTTACCAAACAGATTAATTGAAAATGTATCTACTTAGCACTCTTCCTACAAAAAGTGAAATTATACTTTCCCCAGTTTACAAAGTGCTCAGTGATTTTTTAAAATTTTTTTTATAATCTCTATTATAGTTTTCCTCTATACAACATAAACAATCGCAGATACAAGCAACAAAAACAAAAACAGGATTTTTGTTTTATAAATTATACACAAGACAAATTAAAAACAATACACCATCTGAGGAATAACAATTCATGCTATAAATATTTATACGAGGAAGTCAAGATGAGATTATTAAAAGAAAAAACATGGTTAGGTGTTTACTCATTTTGTATGTAAACTAAAAATGCTGATCCTGGAGATACTTTAACTATTTTTCAGTATCATTCCTCTTTTTGATTAAGGGTTGGCTAATCCATCTTGAGCCTTTTTCCATATTTAAAGGGACTCTCCAGTGACAGGAAAACAATCAGTTTTCCTGGCACTGCAGGCGCCCTCTCCCTCCCACCACCCATCCCTGGTTGCTGAAGGGGTGAAAACCCCTTCAGTGACTTACCTGACACCCCCGTCGATGTCCCTTGTCGGTGGCTTTGGGCCGCCGCCGCTCCTCCCCTTCATCACGTCAGCCGGCGGGGGAGACTGATCCCGCCCACAGGCTGAGGAGACCTAATGCAGATGCGCATTAGAGCTCTCCATAGGAAAGCATTGAAAATACTTTCCAATGCTTTCCTATGGGGAATTGAGCGACCCTGGAGGTCCTCAGATACGTGAGGACGTCCAGCGACGCTCTAGCACAGAAAACCTGTGCTATGAAGCAGGAAGTGCCCTCTAGTGGCTGTCTAGAAGACAGCCACTAGAGGAGGAGTTAACCCTGCAAAGTAATTATTGCAGTTTATGAAAACTGCAATAATTACAGTTGCAGTGTTAAGGGTAGTGGGAGTTGGCACCCAGACCACTCCAATGGGCAGAAATGGTCTGGGTGCCTGGAGTGTCCCTTTAATTGGTATACAATGGACTGAAATCTCTCCATTGTCTGGATATTAACATCTTAGTTGCTACAAGAAAAGTAGATCATTATCATAGCTTCTGACTTAAACACTGTACACCAATTTAGATACAATAAAGTATTTTCAGATCTTTAGTCCCAGCTCAATATATTAAGCGATTTTAGTTTATCAAAAACTGTTGACCATGGGGTCCTAATTAAATCACACTCCCACCAAATGTGCATGTGAGTGCCTTCTTTGGAGCCGCATCTCCAAGATCTGTCAGAATAGTGAGAATACATAACAGCCCCACCCCTAATACAATGTTTTAAAACTATGTTACTCTTTTTCTAAAATCTTTAATAAAAATTATTTGAAAATAATACATAACAGCGAGTTTAGAAGGGACAAAAAGGCACAAAAAAAACAACTATTGGTGTTTTTGGGGTTATTTTGTATTGTATTGCTGTCTGTATCTGGGAGATAATTAGTTTAAGCGAGAGCTAACACAATTTTCTCCCAGACACAGAGGTGCCTGGGCAGGCTTACTGTATGTTTAATGGAGACCCCATACTCGGGGTCTGGGTATATATTTCTGTGCTTGCTTCAATAAAAGCAGTAGCTTGATCCTTCATTAAGTCTCGGCGGATGTTTGGGTAAGAAAGAGCTATAAATGCTATTCGTCTTGCAGGATCTGGAAGAGAATTTTAACCTAACTTCAGTTGTGCGAGATAGACAGACTTCCTCATGTCCAACTCTCTGCTAGACCCGCTTCGGTCTGTTTTTTTTCGCGCTAAGTACTCTTTGGAAACAGCACTGACCAAAGTATCGAATTATCTACTCGCTGCAAAATCTCGTGGTCACTACTCTATCCTAATTCTCCTTGACCTTTCTGCAGCTTTTGACACTGTTGAGCATCAATAGCTTCTTCCTATCCTCCGCAATATCGGTCTACAAGATATTGCTCTCTCCTGGTGCTTACCCATTGTTGAATGGGTAAGGCAGTGGCTGAGTGACAGGCAACAGAGGGTTGTACTCAATGGAGTATATTCAAAGCTTGGGCTTGTCACCAGGGATCTGTACTTGGACCCATTCTCTTTGATGTTTTTATTAATGATATTGCAGAAGGTCTTGATGGTAAGGTATGTCTTTTTGCTGATGATACTAAGTTATGTAAAAGAGTTTATGTTCCAGGAGGGATAAGCCAAATGGCAAATGATTTAGGTAAACTAGAAAAATGGTCAGAATTGTGGCAACTGACATTTAATGTGAATAAGTGCAAAATAATGCATCTTGGATGTAAAAACCTAAGGGCCGAGTACAGAATATTTGATAGAGTCCTAACCTCAACATCTGAGGAAAGGGATTTAGGGGTGATTATTGATAGGGAGAGGTATTAGCAGCAGGGCTGTATTTACCACAAGGCAAACAAGGCATTTGCATAGGGCGGCACTTACGGGGCAAAAAGCCACCCCAAGCTCCCAAACAAATGCCTTGTTTGCCTCATGTCCTGGGGCTGTTCTTCTTAGGGCCCCTCCTAAGAATCAACACAGTAAAGGAGGAGACCATATTTAAAAGAAGAAAAACTACCACAACAAGAGGACATTAAGTCTTAAATTAGAGGAGCAAAGGTTTAAAAATAATATCAGAAAGTATTACTTTACTGAGAGGGTAGTGGATGCATGGAATAGCCTTCCAGCTGAAGTGGTAGAGGTTAACACAGTAAAGGAGTTTAAGCATGCGTGGGATAGGCATAAGGCTATCCTAACTATAAGATAAGGCCAGGGACTAATGAAAGTATTTAGAAAATTTGGCAGACTAGATGGGCCGAATGGTTCTTATCTGCCGTCACATTCTATGTTTCTATATTTCTCCTCCTACCTCTCCCAGCGCTCTTTAGTGTTTCTTTCTCTGGCTCTTCTTCTTCTCCCCAACTCATCTCTGTTGGTGTTCCCCAAGGTTCAGTCCTTGGTCCCTTACTGTTCTCCATCTATACTGCCTCCCTTGGTAAACTCATTAGCTCCTTTGGTTTCCAATATCATTTCTATGTGGATGATGCAAATGTATCTGTCCTCTCCTGTTCTCTCCCCGTCCCTCTTGACTAGTGTCTCTGACTGCCTCTCTGCTATTTCTAACTGGATGGCTGCCCACTTCCAGTGTTGCTACTCCTGGGTCTGTCTCCCTCCAAATCAACGGTGCTAACATCAGCTCCACCACGCAGGCTTGAAGCTGAGGTGTTCTCTTTGATTCTGACCTCTCCTTCACGCCTCATGTTCAGTCTATTGCCAAATCCTGCCGCTTCCATCTCAAAAACATTGCGCGTGGGAACAAGAGGTGTCATAACATAAGACGCTGAGTGGGCGGAGCATCTGAGAAGACGGTGGGTGCAGATCGCTTCCTCAAGCTTGAAAAGCCTTGTGCAGGAAAGCAACACACTGTTAACCTGAGTCAGTATAACACTGAGATTTGCCTCAGCCCAGTAGACGGAAAAGGGACCGGGGAGAAAGAGTGTGGAAGCCCCAGTCCAGTGACGCAGTGGTGTCTGCCTGACAAGGCATAATACCTCACCTTGTGGTGGTGTTGACATAAAGACTTCTAACGAAGAGCGGGTAACTGTGAGTAAAACACAGAAAGGAGCATACTGAGTATGGGTGGCTTTGTACCTGGTTCAGAGTTTACCTGGGTAAATATTAGGGGGGAAAGAAAGGGTGAGGAAAGCAGGAAAGAGCAGCACGGAGAAGGGAGAAGAAACATATAAGAAAAATAGTGGAAAAAGAGAAATGAAAAGAAAAAGAGTGAAAGAAAAGGGAAAGGAGACCTCTTAATAAGAAACCACGCAGCATGAAGCAATATCACTGCTCTGACAGTGCCCCCTATTGCCTTCTCTCCATATACCTATACCCTTTATATATATACATAAATACTGGTCCCCACTTTAAAGTGTGCACACAAAAATAAAGGCTGCAAAAGTAAAAATAAAGAAAGAAGTGAAAGACAAATACAAACACAAACAAACAATTAGTAAAGAGTGCCGTAAAGACAATATGGCAACGAAAAAAGAGAATCAAAATTAAATACAAAAAAGGAGAAGTAGAACAAAAACAAACAATAACTTCTATGTTCTCCTCACAAATCTAAAAACAAAAAAAAATAATGATGAAGAGTCTCAGGAAGACTCAGTAATTTCGGTAGGAGGAAATATGGAAATAACGAGAAGAACCTCTTTAAGCACCTCAATAATGGAAACGCAATATATCACTCAGGCTCAATTATAAAATTGCCTGGATAATCCTACTGAGCAAATAAAAAAGGAATTGAAATCCCAATATACAGATTTTAAGGAAGAAATAATAAAATTGGGTGCAAAGATTCATATACAGGAAGAAAAGATTGAAGGATTACATTTTGATCTTCAGAAAGCCAACGTACAAATTGCGGGGATTGCAAAAGAAGATAGTTGAAATGGAAGATAAAATAACTAATAATGAAGATCGTAGTCGCAGA